CCGGCTACTACAGTCACTGCGCTGTCGGGGAGTCTGACGCCAACTGTGAAGCCTCCAAAGCATACTACTTCAATCTTCATCTAAGTGATGTGAAGTAAGAGCTTCCCCACGAGATTGTTCATGCCCTGTTGCCGTGCCAGCTTATGCGAGCCGTGCCCATCCGGCATGAGCTGCCCAGGAGGGTGGGCAGATGGAGATGCCCATGCAGGAGGTGATCCTCATTTTTCAGAAGGGTCCTTCGTATGCTCCCTCCCAAGCTGGCCTCGAGCCCTGTGTTTTCAGACACCGAGTACCATGCTCAACCCTCCATACGGCCTGGTATGTGGGCAAGTGTATCGTCTAAGTATCAACCCTATAAATGTAAGCTGATGGGATCATCTGACTGAGATCGACCTCGATGCAGCTCCTGTATCAATAGTCTATGCAGTGCATCTGAGTACCTGATTTACCTCGGATGATCATGATGATGCTTTACGATAGTAGGTGTGTCCCATTTCGAGTGTCCTGGTGGGCCTGCTGGTCAGTGTGCTGCCAGGAGGACTGGCACTGCATGCACTCAGTGCGAGGAAGGGTGGGTAGCTGTCTATTGTCTCCTCGTAGGGGAAGGACGTTGCTGCGTGAATCTACTCGTTATATTGCCGTGGCATTACACTGACAGGCATTCCCAACGTAGATACTTCCGTTTCAATGGCGCCTGTCGAGAGTGCTCCCCCAGCCACCGTCTCACGTTGATAGCCGTGCTAGTTCTTATGGCGGCATTCTGCTACGCTACGTGAGTTAGGCATCATAGCTGCTGATGATACTGGCCCCTATAGTTACCACATGACCGGTGGTAGCACTATGCTGCATCAAGTGACTACCTTACTTGGTGTCACCATGTCCCTTGGCCATGTATGTTACTCCCCCCGACGTGTGTTATGATCCTGTCAGATTATAAAGTACCTTCAACTGATGGCGCTATTCGGCCTCATCCTGTTCGAGTGGCACATCAGTTCGATAGACGATAATTCTTGGAGCTCGGTAGGTCGGTGTATCGTCTGTTCATGTGACACTCCCAGCGTGTGTGGAGAATTTCGCACTACATCCCCATGCTGGTCACCGTCAGTGTTGTTCGCTCTCCTCAGCTAAGTTCAGGAGTTTCCTCGCTAGTTATTGCAGTTTACATACAAATTCGGGTAGAAATGTACAAAAACCAAAGAGAATTGCCTCGAATTTGATCGAAATTTCCACGAACGTCACCTATACATGTAGTTGACACACCGCTGACTCACCGTATGGCAATGGACATGTTCGCATCATGGTAGATGTCATGTTACCAGCCGTGCGTGATCAGCTCCTGAAGGCTCTACGGCTTGCCTTGTTCGACTTCACCGAAGTGCTGTCCCTGGACTGCTGGTCTAATGGTATATCCCCTCTCGCCTCGTACACCATCCGTATGCTCATCCCCGTATTCCTCTATGGGTGAGCGGCCTAGCTTGTCAGCCTTGGTGTTCCGACACTCGCCCCCCCCTCAGAATGATGTCACTTGTGTGGTTCTGTATTCAGTTCAAGCGTTATCGCCTCGTCAGTGGCTTTGGACGGGGGTACGCAGTAAGCGCTTCTCCTCTCTCGCTGACAGAGCCGTCCTTCAGCTACGAGTGGGAGCACTTGAGCCTGGCGAATTCCATAGGGCAGATA